AATATAAAAAAGTTTAAATACGATATATTTTTAATTTAATTATAGCTTCATTAGAATAAAAGAATTACCCGGCTATGATACGGAGAGTTCAGGTGTACTTGAGAAACGAAAGACAGTGTTGTGTTTTTCGGCAAAGTCGTCAGGGAACGACCGTTACGACAGAGACAACCTATCTATCGCTCGTGTCGCACTCATTATAACCTAAAACAATAACACAACAATAACAAGACATTGTCTGACCACACGTTCCAGCTATTTATGAATGAGATGCTCAGTCTATATTTTATTTTAAGTCTATGGTGTCTGCATTCTTGAAATTCCTTTCATAGTCCAGTAGACGTATCTACTTTACCTAGGTACGCCACTGGTGCGCCTTTCCCTTTTTCTTTCAAACCGAAACAGATTGATGGCATCAGACGTTTTTGATAGACCGGAATATTTCGGTTTCCCCCATTGAATGTAAATATGCCCCTAAATGTAAGAGCGTGCAAGGGACGCAAACAGACGGAAGAATAGATTGATTGATTCGATTTTAGGGGAGAAACGGTAGAGAACGCCACTGTCACCTCCGGAGATAGTAGACAGATTGCCGGAGACAGTTTTGACAGGCGGATAAATGTGTGGTGATCCGTTGTCACAGTATTATGTGATGGTAGGAATGTATTTGACAGTAGATATTTAGGAAAATAATTTTCGAAATTTATTATAATAAATTTGTTATAATTGAACAGCAATACAGTGCCACAATATGAAAAAAAAAAACAGCATCAAAGACGGCTGGGGAATGATAATCGACGATAATTTTGGCGAGGTCAAGCCTTAGACGTCAGTCGTTTCCTTGGCCCGTACTCTTCTTTATTTTTTAACGGCGTTTAGTGCCAGATGGCTTTAGGAAAGCTGGAATTTATTTTTATATTGAGTAAAAATGATTTTTAAATAGTCTAGTTTAAAATTCCAAAAAAAAAATATTATCGCCGCAATACTGACTTCACATTTGAATTGAAAATTATGAATTTGGTAAGTTGAGAGTTGAAAAAAAGATTTGGAAGGAGGGTGTAAAAAGAACAATGAGTGCCAGAAACCTAAGTGAGAGGCAATGGCAATGGAACGATCGAAGATCGAAGGACGTGGAAGTTAAGCATCGGATAACGGGTCGCAAGACGTTCTAGACCGATATACAGGGTGGTCCGAACTGTATTCCGGAATTGCGAAATTTAGTAGTTTTATACAAGCACGGACAAAAAGTTATTACTCTTCACACCGGTTAAAAATATGTAGGTGGCTTTCTCTACAAATAGGAGTTAAAGTCCCTAGATATATAAAGTACCGCAATTGGTTTGTTCAATGTTATTGGCGCCAAAATGGCGGATTTTTGGGGTATTTCTGAAAAAACTGTAGTGGTAGGACTGTTTAAATGTCACATTTGTCTGAATTTGTCATGTCAAATGTTGACAAGCTCTCAATTTCACAATAAAAATATTTATCCACATATTTTAAAATAATTACAAAGCCACTAAAATGCTACAAATTTATTAGTTAATAATGTATAGGCGTCGATATCTTTAGTGAAGAAATGTGTATTACGAGAAAAGGCCGCCATTTGATGTGTTTTCTAACATCGTCGATATTCAATACACGTTAGGTAGTGGATTCAATTTATTTATGCTCCAGTGAATATTTTTAACAATCTTATTTGTAGTATAACCTATTGGTACATAAAACTTCATTATAGAACAAGACAAGACCACAATAGATCTGAGAAGGTCGCAGTGGGTCAGGCCGAGATCCACCTCTAGAAATCTAATCTAGAACAAGACAAAGACCTTACTTGCAAACTACCATACATATCTTTTAAAAAGGATGCTAAGTGTAATTGAAATCTCTACGTAATCATTCCCTAAAATGTTTAGTGTAGTTTAGTTTTCAACATTTTGCAGTAAGAAGTTTAGATAAATCTACAATATATTATCATCAGACCAAAGGAAGGATAATTATTTAAAAGAATAAGTTATGTTATGATACATATATAGATTTGGATGACATTGCTTCAGGTGGTTTTACCAGTCAGGACTAACAGGCTCAAATAAATTTGATCCTAATAACAAGAATGTTGTTTATGCATATGCTAACTATATAGTTATTTTCATGGACTTAAATAGATTAGTTTTTATGTATTTATTGATAGTAATTAATATTTTTTGGTTCATATTGTAATTACTAATAAAAAGTAAACAATATAATGTAAGCATGTAAAGTTATATTTAAAAATTTGGTCTTATACTGTCAGTTATAAATAAAAGTGTGTGATTTAAATTTGATTTTTATACATGACATAAAATTGTTAAGATGCATTTGAAGTTTTACATATTGTCGAGGTAAAATTATGCCTACTTAATTTATGTATAACAATAATTACAGTTATTTCAATGTTAAATTTATAGCAGTTTAATTTTTTTATAATAATGACACTTAAACATTATGACACTTGTTGTTTTAAAAATATAACATTAAATTGCAGAGCAAAATATATTTTAATTGTATTATGTGGTATTAACTTGCCTTTATTCAACTAATAATAAATTTGTTGTATAAAAATCACTCCATAACATACAAACCTTAATTATACAGCATACATAAAGAGCTCCTATGCGTTTCAAGCTTCTTTCTAAGCTATTTTTAAATTAAGTGCACATTTACATACCTAAAATGCCGAAACTACCTGAAGTAATACTAATTGAAACAATCTTTCTATCAATATATTAATATATTTCAAAAATAGCAGGTATGTATCATATCAATTTAATTATTACATTTATTTGTTTCAACCATGGTTCAAAATTTTCTCATATAAAAGCCGGCCTTCAAATTTAAGTTTGTAGCTTATTCCTAGATTCATAGTTCTAAAGACTTTAGTTAAATCATGCTTATTTGTCAAAACTAACTACAGCATAACTAGTATAATAGGGAAAGTTTACTTATGGTATAGGTATCCCGTTCTCATCAACAAACAAAGTTTTTCCAATTGTTTTGACTGAATTAAGTACTAAAATGCTAAATGTTATTCCAACTTTATTTCTTCTTACCTATTAACTTACTTCTGTTGGCGTACTTTGCGCTAAAAGGTAACATAAAATAAATGCTAATACAAATGAAAAACACTTGTACGGAAACCATTCGTTTATAACCTCTTAACATATATAGGCCTAAAAAATTAAATCTATGAAACTGAATATAAATATACAACCTGATATTACGTTAAAATGAAGGTAAACTGTAGATAATAAACGTAATTCTATTACAATTAATAAATATTTTATTTTACGGCTTGCCTGTCAATGCTGGTCGGCCATATTGGCGCCGGACCGACCAGCTGCCTAAAAAGTCGAAACAGCGAAATGTTCATGAAATGTTGGCCTCCTTTTTAAATTTGCCGCTAGTTTTGGCGCCAATATGGCGGTAATTGCGGTACTTTATATATCTAGGGACTTTAATAGGAGTCATATTGACATCAAAATCAAGTTTCTCATGTCAAAAAACTCTCAGATACCAATTTTCATCCAAATATTGACGATACATCAGAAATTATTTTGAAAAAATCGAAATAAAAATGGAACTTTTGCACCCTCTATCTCGAAAAGTAAGCATTTTAGAACGTATATAATATAATGATAATAAATAAATATTTATACAAACTTTTTATATATATTTATACAAACTTTTTTACTTATTTTTATCTGCAGAATATGCTGCCGGTTTCCGGAATACAGTTCGGACAACCCTGTATATACAGGGTGTCCCAGAAATAAATGCAAGTATTTTATGGGGTGGTGGATCTCGATAAAAGAAACATATTTTCTCTTTATCGTTTTTCAAATAAGTCGAAAGTAACGGAGTTATTTTACTTTGAATATTTCCAAAAAAAAAAAGATTTTTTACTAAAATTTTGAGAACCACTGGATCTTTTCTGGATTTTCTTTCTTGTCAATTTAATCTAATACCTATGTTGTAAATGCATATTATCCAGAAATTATGTTTTTTACTAAAAACTAAAAAAAAATTCCAAAAAATTTCTAATTTTCAAATTTTTTTTTGCAAAAAAACCTCATAAGCGTGTTTGTGTGGTTGAATTGTACTACCAGTTAAAATACTTGCACTTATTTCTGGGACATCCTGTATAAGTTGAGAGTACTGTCTAGATCTCTAAATATTGTTCAGCATTCTAAATTTAGTAAAAAAAACATATTTAGTAAGTGAAAAAATACAATTCTTGTTACAAAAAAATAAAATATAGCAAACACCCATATATAATTTAGATATTGACGCTCTGCTTAGTATAAATAAAATATTATCTTAGTTTAGTTTAGTTTATTAATTCCTTTTTTAATAGCTTTTAATTTTTTCAAGATTTTTGGGGATCCCGGGATTTAATATCCAGATTTCGGTGATAAACATACACCGGGATCCCGAATTGGAAACCATAATTATCTATACATAATATGATCTCAATTAGAAAAAAACTTAAAATAAAAAGAAATTCTGAGTGGCTTGGAAAGTTTGAAAAACACTGTTTGTTTTTATAGTAACTTTTTCTATTTAGCTACAATTACGCAGTTAAATCTAAATGAAAAAGCAATTGGTATTTTTGTATCCAAACAATTTTACACACCATTTACCTCCGATCCTCCCTTGTTCTAATTTAAAAAAGGTACAGATGAACAAAGCGTGTGGAATTTAATTCGATTCTTTACTTTTTTAGGTCATCTAAGGGAAAATATAAGACGTTTCTACCGTTTTCGGAGCAACATTCAACACACGGTTTAATTACGGGTTTTTTCGCAAAAATAAAAGTAAAAAGTAAAGATTTTGAGTCAAATAACTATCTAGTGAAGTTTGTTTTTGTCAGTTATAACGTGTATTAATTATTTCGATTCCAAAATATCTTGGGAGATATTCTAGCTGGTAGTGTTTTTTACCAAGAGACCTTTTACGTAAACAACGACGAAATGCATACTTTCTGCCACAGTAGTGTATATAATACAAGCACGGACAAAAAGTTATTACTCTTCAAAAGAGTCGAAAAACATCTAGGTACAACATCTTCCCCAACAAGTAGGAGTCATATTGATATCGAAATCGATATCAATATGAGATATATTTATCAGAGAGTCAAACAGCCTTAAAGGCGATCAACTCAGTAACCATCAATTTGAAGTTGGTCAAAGAATGTCTAGAGAAGCTGAACAAAGTAGGCAAAGAAAATAAAGTCCTTTTACTCTGGATGCCAGCCCACAAAGTGCTAGAAGGTAATGAAAAAGGAAACGATCTAGTTAGAAAAGGAGCGAACACTCCACAAACTGAACCAGAACCGTTCCTCTTCCCAAGTGGAAACCAACTAAAAGCGGATCTTAAGAATCGGGAACACTTCATCCGTAACCTGGAATGGGAATCCTCCAATGGTCTAAGATACACGAAGAACTTTCTCAGGACTTACGAGTAAGTAGTTAAGTAAGAAACTCTTCGAATTGTCATGGTATTTTTAACAGGACACTGTCTCCTCAATGAACACCTCAGTAGATTCCAGATAAGAAATAACGGCGAATACACATTCCGTGGAAAATAGGGAAACACTAGAACACCTCATCACTGAATGCCCCGAGACAACCATTCGTGCCATAAACTTTGGTACGACTGATATCGGAGATGGAGAATTACCCTCCGTAAAACGGTCTTAAATACTGGCTTTTGTCAAAAAAGACAAAGACTGTATGATGAGTTATAAATCAAGAAAAGGGGACACAATAAATCCATAAGGGCGCTGTGATTAACTTCCCCCCTTTCATACAATCTACATCTGCAGAATATTGTGTTAAAGTTAATTACAGTTCGGACCACCCTGTAAAGGCTTGGTGCATTTCAGCTGATTTCAACAAATTTCGACCGCAGCGCTTCAACGGCAGAAATCAGAAATTATCAGTACTTATTTCACGCCGCCGTAATGTTGATCGCGTTAAAATAATATTGAAATCGTGGTTTTGTCATAATATTTAAGTATTTTAGTTTTTTGCTAGTGCAGTTATTGAGACTATAAAACGCTCAGGTACGAGGTTTGAGTGATGTAACGCTGTTTCGGGTAGTAAAAACTAAGTGAAAAAGAATTCGAAATAGGCGTCGTGTTGTGTTGTGACAATTTCAAATGTTAATAAAATTGCCGAAAACATGTTAACGCGCAAAGGAGAGCGTAATTAGAGCGTTGTTGGGTGCAATAACATTCAATAACTCAACTTTCCCGGATATTCAACTCTTCCAAAACAATATTTTATAGCTTTAAGGTACATTCAGGCTGAGAGCGTCGAGCGTCGCGTCGCGTTTGCGTCGCGTCCGCGTGTCGAAATGGAATCAATTCACTTAACTTAAATTAGACCGTTCAGGCAGACAGCGTCGCGTTTGGCGTTGCGCTAGCGTCCGCTGAGCATTGCGGTACGAGATCAACGGGGCGGACGCGACGCAAACGCGACGCGACGCTCGACGCTCTCAGCCTGAATGTACCTTTAGAGTTTCTCACACCGATTTGGTCAAAAGCAAAAATTGATTCAAGCAGTTAAACAAGTGAGTAAACAAAGTGCTCGTTACATAATCAAAAAATTAAATAGACATATACTATGAGAGGGTAAAATATAATTTGCAATATTAATGGTATACTTTTTTTAATCAACTAGTGATTAAATGTTTTATGAACATCTTCTAAAATTATAATTATGTACCTTTAAAAAAATCTTTATACTTAGCCGAAATAGCCCCAATTATGCTCCACTAGCAAAACCGGTGATGGTGTGTAGCGAACATAGTTTTATGCTCGCTACTGTAGTTGAATTCATCTAAAAAGCTTTTTTAACTGGAATAATTATAATACAAGTTAGACCAGGGCCCGAATTCTGTAACTTTGACATAAAAACGTTACGCTTTCAAAGCGGTGAGCGCAAGTATTCGATCAGCGAAACGCAAGGCAGTCGATTTTGGTATTCTCGTTGCCATGCGAATCGTGTTCTGGATACGCGCTGAGCACATATTGGCAACATCACAATTTCTAATGTAGCTAACAGTCAAAAGTTGATAACTGACGGATGTAA